CGTTGGCTGTGGACTCGACAGGACCACGTCGTGGCCAGGAGGGGGAGGGGGAGTGTGTTGGGGGCCAGGTGTGCAGGGCTACCTAGAAGTTACGTGCTTCATTGTTTATTCCCTACCTAGGCTCTGCCTAGAAGGGTTCTTACTCTCTTAGCTTAAAGGGGCCGGGCAGTGCAAAGCGCCCCGGGCGGTTCCCCCAGTCCCCTGGGAGCGGTTCCCCCCAGTCCCCTGGGAGCTTTAGCTTTAGCTTTAGCTTTAGCTTACCTTTAGCTTAGCTTTAGCTTAGCTTTAGCTTAGCTGTAGCTTAGCTTTAGCTTAGCGTTTCGCTTGGCGTTTCGCTTAGCTTTTCGCTTAGCGTTTAGCTTAGCTTTAGCTTAGCTATAGCTTAGCTTGAGCTTAGCTGTAGCTCAGCTTTAGTTTAGCTGTAGCTTAGCGTTAGCTTAGCTTTAGCTTAGCTTTAGCTTAGATTTAGCTTAGTTTTGCCTTAACTTTAGCTTAGCTGTGGCTTAGCTTTAGCTTAGCTTTAGTTTATCTTTAGCTTAGATTTAGCTTAGCTGTGCCTTAACTTTAGCTTAGCTGTGGCTTAGCTTTAGCTTAGTTTTAGCTTAGATGTAGCTTAGCTTTGCCTTAACTTTAGCTTAGCTGTGGCTTAGCTTTAGCTTAGCGTTAGCTTAGCTTTAGCTTAGCTTTAGCTTAGCTTTAGCTTAGCGATACTGTTACTACTAATGCTGCTTTCCTAGGGGTTCCAACTCCTAGGTAGGGTCGCACTGGGATAATTACACAGCTGTGGGGCGCACCCCAATGCCAGCGTGCCCCACTTTAGCAAATACCCATGCTTCAGAACCACTCGCTGAGAGGGGATCCGGGTACTTCCAACTGTGACGCGCAATCGTGAGTCGTTCTTAACATGTGTTGGGGTCCCCGAAGCACGAGGGAACTGCTCAGTCTACAGCCCAACAATCCCAGTAAGTGCGACTGCTAACCACCCGTCTGGCAGGGCGAGCCGAAGGCCCCACCAGGGTGGCCACTCATCTGAAGAGGCAGAGTTCCCTGCTGCGCAGATGTAGTCGAGGAGCTTTCAGGTGTGTGAGTGTGTATGTAAGGGTGCCCCAGCACGAGGTGGTTGCTCAGTCCAGGGCCCAACCACCTCAGGAAGTGGTACTGCTGACCACCCGGCGAGATGGGCGAGCCAGAAGCCCCACCTGGGTGGACACGCTGGAGGGGCAGGGATCGTCCTTCTGCGCAGTGTGCGCCGCGGAGATTTCCAAGGTTGGGAGCCTGCGGGGTTGTTCGCGCCTGTATGTCGGGCGTTGGCAAAACTGGGTTTAGCGGCACCTGGTTTAAAGATGTGAACTGGGGGACGCCCCCCCCGCCTCGTTCCACTAACCGGAACTGCCGTCACACGACAAAAACACCAGCTACGGCAGACCTGGTTTAGTGATTCTGGCTAATTTAGGGGCTTCGGGGCCCTACTACTAAGCGGGTCCCCTTATCTGGGATCCTGGCTATACCCGAGTATGGGGGGGGGGGGGCAGCACGGTGTGGCCGCTCAGTCCAAGGCCCAAACACCTTAGGAAGCGCGGCTGCTGACCACCCGTCAGGCTGGGCGAGTCGCAAGCCCCCCCCCCTGGGTGGTCACCCCGGAGGAGCCGAGCAGGATTATCCCTGCGTTCTACTTGTGCTTCGCGGAGCACATTACGTCGATTGTGAATTTGCCTAGTGGAGTGTCGACAGGACCACTCCGAGGCCGTGGGGGGGGTGTAGGGGGCCTGGTGGGTAGGCTAAGCAAGGTTGGTCATACTGTAGCGGGGCCAACCTGAATATTACCCCTGGGCACTAGTACGCGCAGGCCGTCCGTGGGACGGACCTCCTTACGGTCGTAGTCGGGGTGCGACCCTGGCGGCATACGGGCAAAGTGTGCTTCGCTGTCGTGGGGCGATCCTGGGGCCGGTCCTATATTGTGCTCCACAGTCGTGGGGCGGCCCTTTGGGCCACCCGCGTCTTATCAGAGGGGCGGCCACGGCGCATTCAGGGTAAATGCTGATTGATGGTCGTGGGACACCTCTTGGGGCAGATGCTTAATCTACCCAGCATAAGGCTCCTCGTAAGGTCGCTGGTAGCCTTAGGCCAAGATTGAAGGCGTCACAATCCTAAGGCGGCCCTTCGCCGGGAAGTTACGCAAGTGCTCGCGTTGTAGATACGCCCGCGGGCTTCACAATCGTGGGGCGGTCTCTTTCCCTTCGTAGCCTTTCGGGCATGTTGACCCGATAGTTGTGCTACACAATCGGGGGGCGAACCCGCGCCCTGTGGGAGAGTGGCCTCGCTTACGCACACGTTGGTTGAATATCCCACTTGGATGGGCATCGTTTGGGGGGGACTGGCTTGCTAGAGGCCACTGACAAGAGCGCGCCCAGCCCTCAGAGGCTGAGGCACATCTTGAAAGACAGGACTTGGCCACGTCTCGCAAGCCGCTCTGGAAGCAAACCACCGTGCATTTCGGCTCGCTACATTTGGACAGCCTCATTGCGCTGCTGAAGCTCCAGCGCCCTCGAACGTGTGGCAACATACAATGCAAAACCACAACATGGGGCCTAACGATGTTGGACAACATCTGCAGATTTGTTTGGAGCACGTTTCCTGTAGTTTTTCCAGGACATCGTGGGTGCAAGGCACATATCATGCTGCGTGCCGGCATATAGGGCGTCAGGGCCCGCTGGGGCTGAAATGACAACTCTGAATACGACACGCTTACATTGAAGTCCGATCGGTTTCGGTCGCGTGTCTTCATACCTGCCCTGTCTTTGGATCGGTCCAGGTTTGGAGTAGTGTTGCTTGTGTTTGACCTGACTGTTCGTCTCCTCCTCCTCCTCCTCCTCGTCCTCCTCCTCGTCCTCCTCCTCCCCCTCCTCCTCCTCCTCGTCCTCCTCCTCCCCCTCCTCCTCCTCCTCCTCCTCCTCCTCCTCCTCCTCCTCCTCCTCCTCCTCCTCCCCCTCCATTATCTTACCAGGGTCGCAAGCCCAGGTGTCTCAAGCCGCAGGGGCGAAGCGCGGTCGCACGAATTAGCCTGCTGCCCAACCGCGGGAGCAGCGGCGGCGCGTCGCTCGAGCGGCGCGGGGTACAGTGAAAACGTATAGTAAGGACGCGTGGCAAGGACGCGAGGCCCTTGGAGGCCGAAGTTGAAGTATTCTGGGCGGCAGGCGGCCAACCCCCCAGGGAACCTGAGAAACTGGCCTGCGAAAATTGCCAGGGACGGGCCGCAGAGGCTGAGGCAGGCAAAGACCCAGGGGCACCCCTGGAAAAGTCGTTTGTCCTCACTATGCGCGTTGACTGTACGTGATGCACAGACGGCGCGCGCGAATCGATCGACCAGCGCAGCGTTCTCTGGAGCCCCTCTTGGGGCAATGTTCGAGGTCCCCATGGGTGAATGATTGGGTATGAAATGAAGCTTCGGGTGAGCGAGCGTGTGGCTGCTTGCACGCTCCCACACACACGGGCGCCAAGAAAGTGCGAGGAAATTCCCAACGAATTGCAACCGCTCTGGGCGTCAGCAATTTGATGGGGCAGAGAAGCACACACGACGCTACATCATGTCGTGCAACAGTCGGAAAAGGGGGGTGCAGGGGCCCCAGACCCATTTGAAAGACACGCGTGTAAAAAACACGAGCATGGTAATACTCTGAAACATTGAAAATCCTCCTAACATTGAAAATCATTGAGAATCCCCCTAACATTGAAGATCCTCCTAACATTGAAAATCCTCCTAACACTGAAAATCCTCCTCCTACTCCTCCTCCCTGAAGGGGCGGGAGGGCAGGGCCTTCTTCTGTACTCCTCCTGATGTCCCCCCCCCCCCCCCCGCGTACGTGCCCCCCCCCCTCCCGCTCTTCCTCCTCCTCGGGCGAGAGGAGGGGAAAGGGGGAAGGGGATGGAGGCCAGAGGGAGCTGGTCGAGGAAGGGGGGCGAGGAGAGCAGAGGCAGAGGGGAGGAGGGTTTGGGCGGGGAGGAGGAGCAGGAGGAGGAGGAGGAGGAGGAGGCGGAGGCGGAGGCGGAGGAGCAGGAGGAGCAGGAGGAGCAAGAGGAGGAGGAGCAGGAGGAGGGGGCGCAGCGGCGTTTGGGCAGGGGGGAAGCGACACTTCTCAGCGCAATCACGAACAATGAAGCTGAACATATTGCACCGGGCAATCCCGAAATCACGAAAGGCCAACCTGCGACAGGCGAGCCAACACAAGAAACCAAGAAACCGTGGTAACTGCGGATAGAGCAACTGTGCGCTTACCTGACCGCGTAGCGGTGTCCGAAACTCAGGGCCCATACTCACGTGACTGAGCTCGGTGAGTCACGAAGCAAACTCGCAAGTCCCCTAGACCTCACAGAACACAGAGACAGGAGGCGGGGCGAGAGCGGGCAGCGCGTTTGTCAAAGCTGCTTGCCCACGCGGGTGAAAGCGGGCCGGAGGAGGAGGATGAGGAGGAGGAGGAGGAGGAGGAGCAGATTGACTTCCCCCCTGGCCACCGCGAGCGACGGATGCAGCCTGGACAACGTTTGGCAGGCGCGGCGCGGGGGGAAGGGCGCAGCGAGAAGGCACAACACTTTTTTGGTCGGCGGGGCGAGAGCGAACCTCTTCCGCTAAAAGCTAGGCGGGCTACGCACAGCTTTAATTTGGGAGAAGGTACAACACAGGGGCGGGGGAGGGAAAAGGAATCATGTTCCCGTGATTATTCCTCCTCCCTCACGCTCCCCCCTCCCCCTTTCCCTTCTCTCCTCTACACATCCTCTGCTGTCTACCCCTGTCTTCCAAGTACTCTCTTGGCAGCAAGGACCAGTACACGGCGACACTGCCGCCTCGTTGTTGCCCGGAGAAGGTGGGGAGGAAGCAGCATGGTGGAAGATGCAGGAGGGATGAGGGAAGAGGGGGGAGGAGGAGGAGGAAGGGGAAGGCGGGAAGAAAGAAAGACGGAGAGAGGGAGCAGGGAGGACATCCCTGGAGGGGTCCGGAAGTCCCCAGAGGTCCCCCCAAACACAAAGGCCGCCTAAAATCCTCGATCCTCCTCCTCCTGCCTGCCTGCCTGCCTGCCTTCCTGCCTGCCTTCCTGCATCCCTCCCTACACCAACTCCGCCTCCGCCTCCAGGGGACGGACGAGGAGGAAGCCGGGGCCGCGCGCCGAACGCGCTACCGGGCCCATGCCGTTTCATGGATCCCCGAGCCTTCGTGTGCCGCGCCGACGGCTGCGGCGCAATCTTGCCGAACATGGGCGCCCTCGGGTGTCAGTTCCAGCTTCCCTCCTCCTGAGGCCTCCTCGTGAGTCATCCTGCCCCTGCTCGTCCTCGCGATCCTCCTCCTCCTCCGCCTCCTCCTCCTCCTCCTCGTCTCCTCCTCCTCGTCCTCGTCCTCCTCCTCCTCCTCCTCCTCCTCCTCCTCCTCCTCCTCCTCCCTCTCTTCCCCCTCCTCCTCCTCCTCCTGCTCCTCCTCCTCCTCCTCGCAATCCTCTCCCCTTCCTGCTCGTCCTGCTAGCCCTGAAACACATTGTTATCATCCTCATGACTGTCCGCCGGCAGTTCTTCCATTGCTATTTCATCCAGGCGGCCATCAATACCACTAAGTGCCACTGCCACTGCCACTAGCGCTACTGTCTACTGCAGCTGCCGAAACGGCTGCTGAGATTGCAACCGCTGTCTGCGATACCATCCACCTCTTTCAAATCCCCACGGCACAACTAGTTTACCAGTTCACCCTTAACGTCCAATGGACGCAGCGGAGAGTAGACCAGTGAGCGGGTGGGGTACAGCAACCAATGTCGCTGAACAAAGACTTTCTCCTCGTTGTCGTCGTTCTTATCCTCCTCGTCCTCCTCCTCCTCCTCCTCCTCCTTCTCCTCCTCCTCCTCCTCCTCCTCCTCTCACTTCTAATGCGACCGCGAGTTCTGACCGTGATCCAAACGCAAAACCAGCCGTGGCGCCGAGGGGGGCCCTGAAGGCCCAACATCAACAAAAACACATAAACGTCAGTCACCCCTGCTCGTCCACCCCCTCCCCCTCCCCCTTCTCGTCCCCGCGGCACCAAGAATGGCCCTGCACGAATGGCACCGTGGTCGGCGGCCAGGCATGCGGAAACTGGTCCAGCCGTGCTCGCAGCCCACCTTCTCCTCGTCCACCTCGTCCACTTCTCGTCCATCTCGCCCTCGTCCTCGTCCTCGTCCTCGTCCTCCTCTTCTTCCTCCTCCTCCTCCTCCTCGTCCTCCTCCTCCGCCTCCGCTTCCACATCATCATCCTCCTGCTCCTCTTCCCCTTCTTCGAGACCTCGTCTCTTCCTCGGCATCCTCTTCTCGTCTCCTTCATCCTTCGAGATCTCGTTATCTTCTCCTTCTCCTCCTCGTCCTCGTCCTCCTCGCCTGCGCGCCCTCCTGATTCTGGGACCCACAGAGGAACACCATCCACCACCACCACCACCTCCTCCTCCTCCTCCTCCTCCTCCTCCTCCTCCTCCTCATCCTCGACATCGTCTTCCTCCTCGCCGTCGTCGTCCTTCTCGTGGTCCTCGTCCCTTCCCCACTCCCCATCCTCCTCGTCCTCGTGCTCCTGCTCCTCCTCCTGCTGCTGCTCCTCCTCCTCCTGCCTACGCTATTCACTCGTAGTCCTCCTCCTCCTCCTCCTCCTCCTCCTCCTCCTCCTCCTCCTCCTAACTCCTGGCCCCCGCGGCGAGGGGGGCAAGGGGGGGCCTCGGGTAGTCCGCAAGGGCCGGCCTCCCCGCCGCCACGGCGGGGGCGAAGTCTGCGAGACTGTCCTCGAACATCTCCCTCAGCGCCAGCGCCTCCAGCGCTGCCCGCCCTCCTGCTCCTCCGCGGTGCCCGCCTTCCTGGACCCTCAGCGCTAGCGCCTCTAGCGCGACTCCCTCCGCGCTGCCCGCCCTCCTGCTCCCTCAGCGCAAGCGCCTCCGGCGCTGCCCGTCATCGCCCTCCCTCCCCATTTCCCTCTTTAGCGGTGGGTTTCGGGCGGGGGGTGGGGGTACCTTAGGGGGACGACGTCAGCGAGATGCTGAGGACCTCCGGTTCTGAGGATGAGGAGCTCCCCGCCATGCAAGCGGAGGGGGCGAGACTCCTCAAGACAGAAGCCAAGGAGGGACCAGACGAGCCCCTCGACGAGCTCGGGGGGGCCTCAACGGAGGCCTCCGATTGCGGGGTAGCTGAGCCCGACGCATTAGGCCGCTTGCTCATATCATCTCATTTCCCTCCCCCTACGTCGTCCGGCCTTCGGGGCACACCTCGGGACGATCCGGGCACCCCTGGAATGCCTTCGGCGAGGCGCAAAGCACCCCGGGGCTGGAAACCCGCCGAGAACCGAAGAAAACGCCAGAACACCTCCCCAAACACGACCGCCAGCGCCTCCAGCACTGCCCGTCATAAGTAGGGGTCCGCATGCGAACCCTACCCCATACCCCCCACGACTCCTGAGGGGGAGGGTGGGGGGTAGGAGTAGGGGCAAGGGTCAAGACCCCCTCCCCGCCCGCAAGCCGTCTCGCTCACTCCCACCCGCCCTCCCAACAAATACGTAGCACCCGAGCCTGGCTCGAGCCGCAGCATATTCAGCAGTCGTTTTTGGATGGGCAGCTAATGGGGGCGCCTCCGCCGCCGCCTCCGCCGCCTCCGCCGCCGCCGCGCCGCCGCCGCCGCGCCGCCGCCGCGCCGCCGCCGCAGCCCTGCCTGCCGCCGCCATCGCTGCCGCCGCCGCCGCCCCCCGCCCCCACCGCCGCCGCCTCCGCCGCCGCCGCCCCCGCCCCCGCCGCCGCCGCCGCCACCGCCGCCGCCACCGCCGCAGCCGCCGCAGCCGCTGTCCCCGCCGCAGCCGCCGCAGCCGCCGACAATATTGTTTTTCGACAGGGATGGTGGGGGGAGGCCGCATCGGGTTCGCTGCGCGTGCTTCGAATTTGGAACCAAAGTGTGTTCTGTATTGTGTTTTTACTAAGGATGGTGGGGGGGGGCCCGCATTGTTCCCGGTTGGCTCCCTGTCGCTTGGGGGAAGGGGTGTATACTAATGGGGAACAATGATCAAGTTAGCAAGTTCGAACGAGCCAGAGGGTTCCGTCCACCCCCACCCGCCCTCCCACAACATGAGAAGCAAGTGCGTCGCGTCCGACGCCTGTCGCTCATCTTATACCGTGGGCGACTAGACGATCAGCGCGCGATATGTGTTGCGTCCTATTCCTGCCGCGTATTGAGCAACGTCGACGAGAAACAAAACCGCGCGCGATGTACGCCGCGCCCCGCTCCGGCCTCTCATGTTGCATCGTCGGCGACAACATGTCCAGCGCGCGAAGTGCGGCGAACCGCAGTTGCTTGAGTTCTGACTTGCCGCCCACCCAGCTCCTCAAGCCGACGGGGCCGCAGCGTCGACGACAAGAACGTCCATGTTGACGAGCAGGCGTCCCCGCGCGATGTGCGCAGCGTCCCATTCCCGCTACGCGATTCGCAACGCCGACGAAGAGAACGCACATGTTGGCAAGGAAGGCGTCGACGTTGCGGTGTTTCTTGACAGGTAGGACGGGGGGTCCCGCGTAGGGTTGGCCAGGCGTACGCGCGCGATGTTCGCCGCGTCCCGCTCCTGCTACACTTTTCGCAGCGTCGACGACAAGAAAGTCCATGTTGACAAGAAAAACGTTGATTGTGTGTTGCTTCTTGATGGATAGGGCACGACCACCAGCTCAGGGTCACTCAAGCGATGCGCATTCCGTCCCATTCCTGCTACACTTTTCGCAACTCGACGACATGCTGACGAGAAAGAATTGACTTTGCGTTGTTGTTTTACAGTTCGGACGGCGGGGTTGCTATCGGCCGGCTAGGTGGGGACGTGGGGGTGTCTAATCACAGGAAGTACGGATTAGGTTCGCATGTGGACCCCTACTAAGGCCAAGCCAGGACAAGGATAACCTTCGGTGAGGAGAAGTCGAAGATCTCTGCGATCCGGACGTCTCGGGCGCCGCGGCCTTCTCAGAGCGTCTTTCCGGATAGCTCTGGTGAACGGACGTCCTCCTCTTGCTTCATAAAACCGGCTGCTGCACCTGCCGCCGCTGCTGCTGCTCTGGAAGAGGAGCAGCCGGCATAAACATAATTAGTCTGTCGGCTGGCTCGCGCGGATTTCTCGGACCGGCGATGGGCCCACCTGGCGGCGCCTCCTGCGCCGCCCCTGGCGCGCACTCTGCGCGCCAGGAAAGAGCGTCAAAAATGCGATGATCCACGCAACCCGCGCGGACCTACAACATTTCATACCTGTGCAGCCTTTCTTTTGTTCCCTGCCTGTCATCATGTTTTGATCGCAGACTTTCGGGGATCTACTGACAGGGATCAACGCAAACCCGGGTCAATCAAGCCTTGCAGGATCCTTTCAAATCCTGCCGGATCCTGCGCGCAAGCCCGAGTCAATGCAACCGTGGCTCTCAGGATCCTGCAAGATCCGGCGCTCTGGCTGACCCCCGATTGCACTGGCCCCGGTCTCAAGGCTCCCGAGATCTTCAGCGCCCGTCGAATGGGGACTCCACTGACGGGTACTTTGGCCAGCGACCTGGCGAACCCAACCCTCCCCGATGTGGGCAACGCTGCAGTGCCAGAAAGAGGCCCTGAAGAGGCAGCTTTCGGCAACTGTCCAACGTACCCGTGAATGAAGAACTATTACGGTGCCGTGCTCGGGACGTCTCCTGGGCCGCCCGTCTCTCACCGCTGGCTTACGCAGGCCGCCCATCGCCGCTGCCCACAACTGGGCGGGTGGCGCAGGTTCCCGAGACCGACCGCGGCCCCACAGCGCAGGCCCGTCAGAAGCTGCGCGCTCCAGTCCTGGCGCGCTCGGCTGCGATACTTCAGACGAAGGCTCCAAACGTATGGGCGAGGGGGAGGAGGAGGAGAAGGAGGAGTAGGCAGAAGAGGAGGGGTGCACAGGTTGGGAAGGCGAGCGTGCGAAGGCTCCACAGGTATGGACGAGGGGGAGCCAGAAGAGGAGGAGGAGGAGGAGGAGGAGGATGGATGGATGGATGGACCCGGCATTGCGCTGTGGGTCTGATGACACTCACCCCTCGAGCTCACGAAACGAGAGTTCGGGGACACCTCTGAACAGTCGTGCGATCTCCTCGGACCGAACGAGGTCAGGCGTGCGGGCGCGCCGTGCAGCTGTGATCACCGTGGATCCGAGCCGAGCAGGACAGGAAACAATAAAACGCCCGCGGGCGGGGGGTGATACCCCTCTGGCCCCTGGGGGCCGAGCTCGACGGCGCGGAGAGCACCGAGCAGGCTCCCTGGACACCCCAGAGGCCCCGAGAAGGAAAAAAACCAAACAGGCCGAAGAAAGGGGCCGACGGCGCGCCCTAGAGACCAGGGGCGGCGAGAGCGACTAAAGGGGCCTGGTGCTACAGCGAAGCTGCAGGACTCATGTCGTCACGTAGTGTTCTGATCGCCCATCTCTTTCCGTAGGATCCGCCACCCGTGTCAGCCCTTCTGGCCGTAGTGGATCTGGCGGTTCTTGTCTGGCAGTTTCTGGGCCATCGATTCCAGGTGGCCCGTCCCCTTCTTCTGGCGGCCGCCCAGAACGTCGAGACAAGTCTCCCGAGGGCCGTCTGGGTTGACGCTCTTCAGTGTGATCTGGTCCGCGATAGCGAACTGCATCCTGGTGCACTGGTCGTTGTAGCGCGTGCGCAGCCTGAGGTGGAAAAGACCTCCGAGCCCGTCTCCGTGTAAACGAACTGCTGGTTGAAGGTGCGCGGGAGCCCGTGCCCCTGCAGGGCCTCCTGCACCACGAAGGCCGACGGGTACTTGAACTCGGCGTGAGCGAGGTGCAAATGTGGTGAGTTGGGGCTTCGCCTCGGGGAACTGCGCCGCCTCTGCGTACATCTTGCCCGCTTCCCGAACTGCGACGATCGAGGTAGCCGTGGGCGTGGTTACGATGCTGATCCATACCGAATCCGCTAGGTCCCTGAGCGACTGGGCGTGCAGGCGCATCATCTTGGGGAGGATCGTGACCGCCTGCAGCAGGTCGCGCGACTTCAGGGCGCCCTCCAGGCGAAGCGTGATCGTGTCGTAGTCCCAGGTGTGCCACGCGTGGGCCTCGAAGTTGTGGCCCGCGTAGCCAGAGCGGTGGTCTCGATCGTACAGTATGTTGAGGCGGCGACCTGCTCCCGTGGGGGCCTTGCTCTGGCGTGCGTGGGGCTCCAGGGCGGACGGGGCGTAGAAGAAGTCGATCCTGCGTGATCGTCCGCGCATCCCAAAGTAGGTGTCCCCGCTGGCAAAGAAGGCGTCGTGGTCCGAGAGGAACCGTTGCCAGAGACGTCCAGGGAGGCCCTCCAGCTCCAGGAAGGTGCCCACGGCGCAGTCGACCTCGCTCCACAAGACGGGCACGAGCAGGGGCGAGGAGCCGAGATACGTCTCGTCCACGGAGTCGCCGAGCTGAGGTTCGCCCCGCAGGAAGGCGTGCGACGACTGCCCACGGACTCCATCATGGTGCGTGCCCACGAGGTCATAGCCTGGGCCACCTGGCGGTATGAGTCGGACTCGGATGGCGCCGAAAGGTGCCGAACCAAGAGGGGCACGTCTGAGGGGCGGCGCTGTCGCGCAGCGGCGGCCCGAGAGCGCCGCGGGCGGAGGGTAGGTCAGACGTAGGTGTGCCTGCAGAAACCGCCGATGTAGGAAGATGCGCCCCCCGAAGCTCTTGTTGGTCCTGCCGAAGGAGAGCTCCCAGTGGTAGTCGCGCAGAAAGAGGCTGTGGCGGCCGTCCAGTGTCGGGCGGCGGTTCATCCCAGGGAGGAGGATCTCGCCCATGTAGTGCGCGTGGGTG